TGCCAATAGAAGCCATTGGTTTTCTGCAGGGAAGATTCAAAGGAGGTTGCCAAATGAGAAGAAGTAAATCACTTCTTGTTTCTTTAAAAAAATTAATTGAAAGTCATGGTTTCTTTCTGCCCTGCAGAGTGAAAGTCCTCCTCTAGAAAAAAAAGGTAAAGGAGGAAAAGGAAAAGAGAAATGGGTGGATTCCCAAGAAGCTAGGTTGGTGGAGCTGGAGGAATCTTACCGGGAGCAAATATTGGAAGAGAAAGCAAAACTGGAGGATCAGCTGGAAAGAGGGGAAATGAAGAAGTGGTCAAAGCAGGTGGGAGCAGGAGGGATGGCCCTCCTCCAAAGTGAATGAACATTGCCATTCAAATGGTGTTCATGCACCACGTCATGTGATCGATTATGTGGGGCGGGGCTTACCTGGGCACTCCAATATTTTTTTCAAGTTGGCACCCCTGCATGACTTCTACACACACAAAATGTAGCTCTGTGTCACTGAAGGAGAAACTGTAGTTCCTGGCTCCTGCAGTTTCCAGTATTGTGAGGTCTATTAAAGAGGCTCAGAGCATTATGCAGAAATGTCCCTCGTCTGCCCCAGCTGGACTCCAGGAGGTGGAGGGTCAGGACTTACGGATATTTAGAGGGAATGCAGACAGCAACTCAGGACTTAACCCTTATTCTTGTTAGAAACTGATCAGAGAACATGATGAGACGGTGACCTTCTTGGACAAGGCGTTTCGCCAAGATGTGCACAAGCTCAGAGGGAGGATGGAGAAAGATCAAAGGAGAAAATACTCAGGTCAAGAAGATGGAAATTCTCTGACTTCTGAAGCCGCCTCTTTGCCGGGACAAAACCAACCCAGCCTGGCTGAAGACAGAGTTCTCTCCCTCTTGGCAGAAAGTAAGTCTCCTTGGCTGCTAACAGAAAGTTAAGCCAGCCTTGTCACTCATCCGTGGCCCAGTGAGCACTTTCAAAATAAAGTGAACGACACTCAGTGATGGAAGCCGAGGCTTCAATCACATAAATGGAAAGACCTCCTTTGGTTGCTAGCAAAGCTGATGATTTCAGAGTTGCTGTCTCAGACCAATAGCTCCATCTGAAGTTTGTTTACTTGGGCCATGTTAATGCCATATATTTAAAACACTATTATACCACTTTAACAGCCATGGCGGTTTAAAGAGAATTATGGGAGCTGTAGTTTGCTAAGGGTGCTGAGAGTTGCTAAGAGGTGTCTAATCGTCATCGTCCTCCCAATTTCCAGAGAGGTTTAAAAAGAACCCTACAGGGGTCTCTGGAAATTGCAGCTCTGTGAAAGGACTAGGTTGTTGTTGTTGTTGTTGTTGTTGTTGTTTAGTCGTATCCGACTCTTTGTGACCCCATGGACCAGAGCACGCCAGGCACTCCTGTCTTCCACTGCCTCCCGCAGTTTGGGCAAACTCATGCTGGTAGCTTCGAGAACACTGTCCAACCATCTCGTCCTCTGTCGTCCCCTTCTCCTTGGGCCCTCCATCTTTCCTAACGTCAGGGTCTTTTCCAGGAGTCTTCTCTTCTCATGAGGTGGCCAAAGTATTGGAGCCTCAGCTTCAGGATCTGTCCTTCCAGTGAGCACTCAGGGCTGATTTCCTTCAGAATGGATAGGTTTGATCTTCTTGCAGTCCATGGGACTCTCAAAAGTCTCCTCCAGCATCAAAATTCAAAAGCATCAATTCTTTGGCGATCAGCCTTCTTGATGGTCCCACTCTCACTTCCATACATCACTACTGGGAAAACCATAGCTAGGTACCAAAGGACTAGGTACCTCCTAGCAACTCTCAGCACCCTTAGCAAACTACAGCTCCCATAATTCTTTGGGGAAGTCATGTCTATTTGAATGTATGGTGTAAATGTGGTGTTGGTCAACAAATCCCATGGGGTCATAGCCATTTCCAGAGCAGCATGCTGAGCCCTATCCAGAACTACTTTCTCTCACTCTCAGTTTCTCAATTTCGGTTTCTCCCAGTTTTTCCTTTCTTAAGTTCAGTTCACCTCGTTTATGCATCAGTATGCAAATTATCCAGCAAAAAATCTGCACGAAAATACAAGTGCATTTTCGGGCACATGTTTTAGCAACATAAGAAGTTGTTTAGCTCAGTATTACCTACACTGACAGGCAGCAGCTATCCAGGATTTCAGGCAAGAAGCATTTCCAGCAATACATGGAGATGCTGGGATTGAATTTGGGATTTTCTGTATGCAAAACCAGTGCTCTTTACTAAGCTACAGCCCTTCCCCTGATAGTTTTTTCCTAATATATATGTACATGCTTTTCCCGTGATATCAGCCTTACACAAGCTTTTAGGATGCTGTTTTTGATTGGGAAATGGCATCATCAAGTTTGGAGGAGCGTGAATCTCGAGGATAGTTGCATTAGGAAGAGAAATGAACAATTTTCTCCCCCACCTCACAGACAGGAGGGGTGGCAGGGATATGAATGTGTCTACACCATTCTTTGTCTTAGATCACACTAACTAGATTAATAATAAATAATAATAATAAAATTTTATTTATATCCGGCCCTTCCCAGCTGAAGCCAGGCTCAGAGCGGCTAACAACAGTAAAATAATACAGCATTCTAACATCAATGCTCCTCCCTTGCAGATATCAAGATCTTGAAGCAAACTGAACTCCTAGTGAGTTTACGAACCACCCTGCTGAATCCTCGGTTCACTGCTCTTCTGTCTGGTAAGGCTTCCAAAGTGATTGTTGTCACATCATCTGATGCTACGTCTTACTTTTGCAAAGGATTGAAGGCTCCTGTGCACACCGGAATGAGCTATATTGCATGTTAGTTATGAAATGCACCCTGTGAGTAGCCAAACTTGGCAAAAAAAAAAAAACCACCTGCCAACAAGCAATGTGAATTCTCTTCCCGTTTGTGTAGATAGCAATGGATCTGGTGGTATGACATCTTCCAAGCTCCTTGCTCTTCTGAAGGATGTGAATTGCCAAATCCAAAAGTGTGCAGCGGCAGTTGGACTGCTGGACGTCCATCGTCCGGAATATGGTAATTCCTTTGCATTGCACTCTCTGTTCTGCTTTCAGTAGACAAAGGCTTCAGCACCATGGACAGGTTCTTTTCTGGAGGGAGGCTACTGCATCAACAGCTTGATTGGGGCGTTGGTTCATTGGCTTTGAAGATATAACAGCTGTTCTTGCTCTCTATCCCCCCCCTCTCTCTCTCTCACACACACACACACACACAATTTTTACCCCTTTTACTCTTGTGTCTTATCTCTGTGGCCTTCTTCTCCTCTCTGCTGCCCACTTTCTTCTCTAACCCAGTGTTTCCCAACCTTTTTTGGGCAAAGGCACACTTCTTTCATGAAAAAAATCTCGAGGCACACCACCATTAGAAAATGTTAAAAAATTTAACTCTGTGCCTATATTGACTATATAAAAAGTACAGTGGTGCCTCGCAAGACGAAATTAATTCATTCCGCAAGTCTCTTCGTCTTGCGAGTTTTTCGTCTTGCGATGCACGGTTTCCCATAGGAATGCATTGAAAATCAATTAATGCGTTCCTAGGGAAACCGCCTTCAGACCAGGTCCGGGGACAGTCTGTCCCCCGACCTCTTCTGAAGGCTGGGGGGGGGGACAAGGGCTTTTCTTCCCACTGCCAGCCTTCAGAAGGCTGTTCTGAAGGCTGGCGGTGGGAAGAAAAGCCCTTCTTCCCACCTCCCGCCCCGCAAGCTCCGGGGACAGGAGGGCTTTGCTGCCGACCGCCAGCATTTTAAAAGCCCCTGCTGTCCCGGGGCGATTTTAAAATGCTGGCGGGCGGGAGCGAAGTCTCCGCTGCCCCGAGGAGATTTTAAAATGCTGGGGGTCGGCAGCGAACGCTTCGCTCCCGCCCGCCAGCATTTTAAGATCGCCCGGGGCAGCGGAGAAGTCTCCGCTGTCCCGGGAAGGCAGGCGGGGGGAGCAAAGACTTTTGTCCCCGCCTGCCTTCAGAAGAGGTCCAGGACCTCGTTCCGATGCCCGGCGGCGGGGTGCGAGGTTCCCGCCCCACCGCCCGGCATCGGGGCATCGTTCCGATGCCCGGCGGCGGGGTGCGAGGTTCCCGCCCCACCGCCCGGCATCGGGGCATCGTTCCGATGCCGGGCGGCGGGGGGAGAGGTTCCCGCCCCACCGCCTGGCATCGGGGCAGCGTTTCCGAAGCGGGGCGGCTGGGGTAGGTGTTCCCGCCCCCCCGCCCCGCTTTGGAGCAGCGTTCCGAAGCGGGGCGGCTGGGGCAGGTGTTCCCGCCCCCCCGCCCCGCCCCACTTCGGAGCACCGGGAGAAGCGATCTCCCCGCAGCCCCTTGCTTCAAAAGAGGTCCGGGGGCAGCGGGGAAGAAGCGCTGCGCTTCCCGCTGCCCCCGGACCTCTTTTGAAGCAAGGGGCTGCGGGGAGATCGCTTCTCCCCGCAAACCCTTGCTTCAAAAGAGGTCCGGGGCAGCGCGAAGCGCTTCCCGCTGTCCCCGGACCTCTTTTGAAGCAAGAGGCGGTGGGGAGAAGCGATCTCGGGCGCCGCGGCGCGCAGGCGCACTGCTCGCTCCTCTTTCCGCGTAGGCGCCTTCTCTAGCTCTTTCGCCTCCTTTTCTTTCTCTCTCGATGGTCCGCCTACAAAGGAGCGAGGGAGGCGCCCGCCATGTTTGGATTTGCATCCAGCAGGAGATGCCGCCGCCGCCCCGCCTCTCCCGCCTCCCTCCCACGGCACACCAGGCAAGGTCTCATGGCACACCAGTGTGCCGCGGAACACCGGTTGGGAAACACTGCTCTAACCATCCCAAATTCTTTTAAGCATTGACACACCAGTACAAATCAAGTAATTAATGAACACTTGATATGTCTCTGTTGCTTTAATTGAGGGACTCTGAAATATATCAGCCTATATTGTACAAACAAGCAAAAGTGATTAAAATGAAATACCCAAGAGAACAAATGTATTTTGGTTCACGTTTGTTTTTCCTTGCAGATAAAGTAAATTCTTTTCAGGATATAATGGACACTCAGATGGTCCCTAAATCCAGAGATCTTGTCCCTCTGCTCACATCAACCCTTTCTGCAAGGGAATTTGTCGTGTACCAATACGGAATGGTGATCCTGAAATTCCTCAGGCCTCATATTGGCGTAAGTGTTCAGAGTGTTTTTCAGGGAAACAGTCCCACGGAGTGCACAATGGTACACTTTGCATGGAACCCAGCAATTTGAGCAGAATCTTGAAAAAAAGATTGACTTTTAATGGCTCTGCACTGAAACATATGCAGAGGAATACAGTGGTACCTCGGGTTTGTTCTGGAGGTCCGTTCTTAACCTGAAACGGTTCTTAACCTGAGGTACCACTTTAGCTAATGGGACCTCCCGCCACCGCCGCACAATTTCTGTTCTCATCCTGAAGCAAAGTTCTTAACCCGAGGTACTATTTCTGGGTTAGCGGAGTCTGTAACCTGAAGCGTCTTTAACCCGGGTTACCACTGTAATGCTGTCTTCTACTCATGCTATTTTTGTGCTGCCCCACTCCCAAGAATTCCAAAAGCAAGAAAAGAGCAACAATGTTGCTATTCATTTAAAGCACTGAGAGACAGTATTTCTTCTCTTAACACAGCCTTCACAAACATGGTGCCCTCCAGATGTTGTTTGACTACAATGCCCTTCATCCCTGACCATTGGCCATGCTGGCTGCTGGTTCTGCTGAGAGCTGGAGTCCAACATGTGTAGCACTGGGAAGACGAAGGCTGTCTTAGCTGTCCATCACTCCACATGGCTCCTAATTCACATCACTCTCTCCCTAAAGACTTTATTCCTTTTTGTCTGCAAGTTCTGTGAGCTTCAGCCCCTCTGTGATGTATTGCAACAATGGAAAACCTCCCCCAAAGAAATGGCCAAGTTAGCCCTCCAAAACATTGAGCAAAGTGGTTTGATTTCATGTCTGTAATTAAAGGCTGATTGAATGTGAGGGATGTTTTGTATTTGAGAAAGTGGCAGTCTTATTCTAAATTTTGATCAGATGTGGCTTGTGCTTTGGACGTACAGTGCACCAGAGAGGCAAAGCATATCCATAACAGATTGTTTTCTTTCAATGTTAGGCACCAGAGATTGATCTGTGTGTTGCTTCCAGCATTCCTTCCAGCAACACACCAGGAAACGCCTTCCGGAACTCTTTCCATTATCAGGTACGTCCTCTTGACAGAGGGAATCTTCTCCAAAACAAAACAAAGAACAAATGTCCCATGTAAATGTCCTTCCTTACATCATGTCGGCCATTGGTCCATCTAGGGCAGGTGTGGGAACCTCAGACCCAAAGGATAAGTGTCCAAGACTCTCTATCTGGCCATGGGACTCTGACTACCAGGCACTTGGAAGCACCCCACAATGAATTTTGACATGTGGGAGGGACAACTGGCCTGTCAGTCATGTGGTGTCACATTATTGATATACTGTAGTTGACATGTGGGTTGTTCTGCCTATCTGTCAAAGGTGGCCCTTAGGATGGGACCAAATACAGAGTGCAGGTCCCAGCACCAAAAAGTTTCTCCACTCCTTAAAGTATGGAATTCACTCCCACTAGAGGTAATGTTAGCCAGCAAATTAGAAAGCTTCAAAAGGGTATTAGAAAATCCCTGGACGCGGGTGGCGCTGTGGGTAAAAGCCTCAGCGCCTAGGGCTTGCCGATCTAAAGGTCGGCGGTTCGAATCCCCGCGGCGGGGTACGCTCCCAGCGCCTGCCAACCTAGCAGTTCGAAAGCACCCCCAGGTGCAAGTAGATAAATAGGGACCGCTTACAAGCGGGAAGGTAAATGGCGTTCCGTGTGCTGCGCTGGCGCGCCAGAGCAGCAATGTCACGCTGGCCACGTGACCCGGAAGTGTCTCCGGACAGCGCTGGTCCCCGGCCTCTTGAGTGAGATGGGCGCACAACCCTAGAGTCTGTCAATACTGGCCCGTACGGGCAGGGGTACCTTTACCTTTACCTTAGAAAATCCCTGGATGATATCACTGGTTGCTAGTTGTAGTGGTGGTGTCCTCCTGTGAGGCTTTGGGGAATCAGATCCCTCTCCTGGTGGCAGTAAGTAAGCAGATCAAACGAAAGGAGCGTTCTTACCAGGTAAGTTCTTTAATAATCACAGCAAGAGACAAAGGAATGCATCTCTCTCTAAAAAGGGACATTGCTCCCAGTAAAGGTTCACCCTCTCCATCCCCATTAATCTACGCCACTCCTATGTTGGTGTGGCGATCACACAGGGTCCCCAGACGTTTAACGGTCTTTTGATCCCTGTGCCACCACTGTGATCACTTCCCCGCTGCCACCAACCAGTTACTCTAGGGTAAAATACTGAGTCCAGACAGTTGTTAAAAATGAACCAAATAAACAAGTTTATTTTATAAACATTAACAAGTTTATGGTTTCTCAGATAATATTCCTGTCAGTATCTTAACTTTAGTTTCTTTACCGGCCCATACCTTCCTAATACCTTCTGACTGATTATCTCAACGGTTTGACTGACTCCTCTTAACAAATTCTCTCACTCTCTCACATCAGACTAGCCCAACCCTCACACCTATCCTCTCTGTCTCTTCTAACTCCAGACTGTCTTCTCAACCACTTTAACTCTAACTCTCTCTCTCTCAAAAAAAAAAACCCTCTGTGCTTAAACCTTATACACAGTTAACTCTGCCTCTTGGGTTCCCATTGGTTAGTCATTTTACAATTAGTTAACCCTTTCCTTATGAACCCAGTATGATGTCACACACTTAGGAGGGCAAACGCCACAGTTGGGTAATCTGAGCTTGTTGCCGCTGCACTTTTTGTTCTATCACTCTCATAGCCTGTCTAGTCTTAGGTGAAGGGAGGTCAGGAAAGCATTCTAAAGACAGTGTCTCTCTCCTGCTGTTTCCTCTTCTAGCTGTTCCTCACCCAGTATTTCCCAGCTTTTCCCCTCTGGACTATGCCCCTCTGCAAACCACTGTTCTAAATCAATACTGTCCTCCTGCCATTGGGAAGGTTCAGAAAGGGGAGATTGCAGCTCCCACCATTCCTCTTCAGTCCAGTCCCTGACACCTCCTCCGGTATTGGAGACAGTGTGCCTCTGAAAACCAGTCACCGGGGGACACAGGTGAGACAGTGCAATTGTGGCCACCTCCTGCTTGCAGGCTTCCCATAATGGGTATCTGGTTGGCCAGTGGGAGGAGAGAGCACTGAGCCAGATGGGTCTTGGAGTCAGGCTCTTCTTGTGAATTCTGAGAAAGGAGAGAGAGGGGGGGGGGGCACAGAAGATTGGAGAACTTTATAAGTATCAGAAGCCTGAAGGCGAAGGACCTGGAGCTAGAAGCATCAGTCCTCAGTCTCTCTCATGTGTTCAGTATTTATTTATTTATCTATCTATCTATCTATCTATCTATCTATCTATTTATTTTAATATTGCCTTTTCGCCTTCCTTAGACCTCTGGCAACAAACTGTTCATTCTAAGGGAGTGCCTGAGTTGCGTGGGCAGTTTTATCCTGCTTCTCGTGCATTGCCTGGCCCACATCGCTGT